CTATAATTTGCTTTAAGTTACTTTCTAGCTTCCTATTGGAAATACACAGAACAGAGCTTCTTAAAAAAAAAAATGCCCTTTTAGGCCAGACACAGTGGCTCATGCCTGTAATCCCAGCACTTTAGGAAGCCAAGGTGTGAGGATTGCTTGAGCTCAGGGGTTTGAGACCAGCCGTGGCAACACTGTGAGACCTCATCTCTACTAAAAATAATTTTTTTAAAAATTAGCCAGGTGTGGTGGTACACACCTGTAGTCCCAGCTACTCAAGAGGTTAAGGTGGGAGGATTTCTTGAGCCCAGAGGCTGCAGTGAGCCTGGAGATGGAGGCTGCAGTGGGCTGAGATCGCACCACGGCACTCCAGCCTGGGCAACAGGGCAAGACCATGTCTCAAAAAAAAAAAAAAAAATGGCCTTTTATCTTTAGGTTTTGAAAAGTAAATATTAATAGACATGTAAAATATACTTCAGCAGAAAAAGATACAGAATCCGCTTTTCCCAAATAAGTTATTTAAATCTAAATGTTAATCAAATCAACTCTATCCCCAGACTTTCATGTTTACAACATAATTGGCAACTAGAGTTTTCTCCCAAAAACTAAATTCTTGATTTACCGTGGTTTGAATAAAAAAATTGAGGCTAAATCTAATCTAAAAAAATAAACAGAAACAAAAAACAGAAAACCTGTAGGCCAGGCACAGTGGCTCACACCTGTAATCCCAGCACTCTGGGAGGCTGAGGCAGGTGGATCACTTGAGGTCAGGAGTTCCAGACCAGCCTGGCCAACATGGTGAAACCCTGTCTACACTAAAAATACAAAAGAAATCCAGGAAGGATAAACCAGAAGATAGTGAGATTGAATACCTGCAAGGTATTAGGATGGGAACTGGGTAGAAAGAAGGAAGGAATAGAAATGGGACAGAAGGAATGAGAAGAGACACATCTCTCAACATACCTTTTTTCCTGTTCTGACTCAGAATCAAGATGTTTCACATATCCAAAATGTAAATGACTGCAATTAGCAGGACATGGGAGAAACCCAAAACAGAATACAAACAGTCATATAGGGACCTAAACAGATTATAAATGAATAACATAACCACACAGAAGAGGAAGTGACTAAAATATAAGCTAAGTAACTTTAGAAAACAGCATCTGTATATTACAAGACTAAATACAAGAAGAACTATGCACAAACATTGTACCCTAGTAAATTTAATTTTCACTTGTGTATGGGTTAGAAGTCTGAAACTACTGTTTGTATATAGTGGGATTGAGCATAAGCAATTCTACCGGGATAGTAAGAGTCATATCTTTTTTTTCTTTGAGACAGAGTCTCACTCTGTCACCCAGGCTGGAGTGCAGTGGTGCGATCTCAGCGGTGCAATCTCAGCTCACTGCAACCTCCACCTCCCAGGTTCAAGCTATTCTAGTGTCTCAGCCTCCTGAACAGTTGGACTACAGGCGCGCCCACCACGCCCGGCTAATTCTTTGTATTTTTAGTAGAGACGGGGTTTCACCATGTTGGCCAGGCTGGTCTCAAACTCCTGACCTCAAGTGAGCCACCTGCCTCGGCCTCCCAAAGTGCTGGGATTACAGGCATGAGCCACCGCACCCTGCCAGAGCCATATTTTTTTACCATCAGAGACAGGACTTACAAATAAGGAAAAGAGGAGACTAGCATGGACACTACAGTATTCGATTAAAATCCAAGGGATCACTATGAATTCATGGTGTTTAGTTTTAAGAAACGCAGGTGGACATGGCAATAGCTGCGGATGCTATGCATGCACACATGTATCCCCCTCGCTCTGTGCACTGAGAGGCACTGGAAAGATGGTGCCACAGTAGGAATGAGCCCAGCGAGACTCCATTCTCCAAAGGAACTAGAGGCTCCTTGGAAAGATGATTGCTTCCAGGACTGGAGTAGAGAAAATACAGGACAAGCCTGGCGCATGCTGTGGTACCAGAAAGGAAAAAATGGCTCTAAAAATGATGGAGACTAGATAGAGGTGGTAGTTGCACAACAATGTGAATGTACTAAATTGTTTATTTTAAAAGGGTTAATTTTGTTATGTTAATTTCACCTTGATAAATTTGAATAAAATGATAGGGGCACAACAAAAGGCTCAGAAGCCAACTTGAGGAAGCTCCTAATGGCCACCTCTGAGACAATGTCAATGACAAAATAAGTTACTGTAATAAAGGATCATAACCCACAGAATTAAATAAATATCCATGAGTTCATATTTATGTAAAGAAATAAATGAAGGCGTGCTGGGCGTGGTGACTCAAGCCTGTGATCCCAGCACTTTGGAAGGCTGAGGCAGGTGGATCACCTGAGGTCAAGAGTTCAAGGCCAGCCTGGCCAACATGGTGAAACCTGTCTCTACTAAAAATACAAAAAAAAAGTAGCTGGGCATGGTGGCACACACCTGTAATCTCAGCTACTCAGGTGGTGGAGGTACAAGAATCACCTGAATCCGAGAATCCAAGAGGCAGAGGGTGCAGTGAGCCGAGATTGTGTCACTGTGTTCCAGCCTGGGTGACAGAGCTAGACTTCATCTCGAAAAAAAAAAAAAAAGAGAGAGAAAAAAGAAAAATGAGGGAGAAGAGACATCTCATCTCTTCGTTACAGTGGAATTCCAATTAATTAGTAAGTACAGCATGAATGATGGAAACAGAAAGTTACATTTGGAAAACACCACAGTAAGAATTGCTGTAGGCAGCCATAAAAAAAGAATGAGATTATGTCCTCTGCGGGGACACGGATGGGGCTGGAGGCAGGAACAGAAAACCAAATACGCCATGTTCTCCTAAGTGGCAGCTAAACGAGAACACGTGGACACGCAGAGGGAAACAACAGACACTGGGGTCTTCAGGAGGGTGGAGGGTGTGAGGAGGGAGGGGATCAGAAAAAATAACTAATGGGTGTAATACCTGGGTAATGAAATAATGTTTACAGCAAACCCCATGACACAAGGTTACCTGTGCAACACATCTGCATTTGTACCCTGAACTTAAAATAAAAGTTTGAAAAAACTGCTGCAGGCAAAAATCATCACAGGATGTCAACATTTGTAGGTAAAAGTATGATGAGAAACAGGATATTGGCTCCCACAAAATGCTTATTAATTACAATAGAAAAATAGTAATTTTACATTGGAAAAGCCTATCAGACACCACTTCAACCAAGTGATCGAAGCAAACATCACCAGTAACAAGACGCATCAACATCACACACCTCCTGATATAACGTAGTAACTGAAGGACACAGCCAGGGTGCAGTGGCTCATGCCTATAATTCTAGCAGTCTGGGAGGCTGAGGCAGGAGGATTGCTTGAGCCCAGGAGTTCGAGACCAGCCTGGACAACACAGTGAGTCCCTGTCTCTACAAAAAATTGTAAAAATTAGCCGGGCATGGTAGTGCACGCCTGCGGCCCTTCCCTCAACTTTGGAAGCTGAGGTGAGGAGACTGATTAGGCCCAGGAAGTCAGGGCTGCAGTGAACCATGATCACACTACTTCGCTCCACCCTGTGTGACAGAGTGAAACCCCGTTTCAAAAAAAAACAAAAAAAGGTAGCTGGGCGTGGTGGTTCACGCCTGTAATCCTAACACTTTGGGAGGCCAAGGCGGGTAGATCACCTGAGAGGTCAGGAGTTTGAGACCAGCCTGGACAACATAGAGAAACTCCGTCTCTACTAAAAATACAAAACTTAGCTGGGTGTGGTGGCAGGCACCTGGAATCCCAGCTGCTCAGGAGGCTAAGGCAGGAGAATTGCTTGCACCCGGGGGGCAGAGGTTGCAGTGAGCCGAGATTGCACCTCTGCACTCCAGCCTGGGCTACAGAGCGAAACTCCATCTCAAAAAAAAGGACAGAACATCAACATCATTTCTGTGGTATTCCTGTCAGAAATGCATTAGAGTTGTCCCTTGATATCCATGGGGGATAGGTTCCAGTATCCCTGAGGACACCAAACTCTGCAGACGTTCAGGTCTCTGATATATGACACAGTATTTACATGTGACCTACACACAGCCTCTTGCATACTTTAAATCATCTCTAGATTACTTATATTATAATTTATCTAATACAATGTAAATGCTATATAAATAGTTATTATACTGTGTTTTTTAGAGAATAATGACCAAAAAAAGTTTGTACATGTTTCAGGACAGACACAAATGCTGAAGACCTAACTACATTTTCCATCTGTGGTTGGTTGACTCTGTGTATACAGAGATTCAACCATATATACTTATTCAACTATATAAGTATACGACTGTGCCTCAATCTAACCAGATAAATCAGCAGGCAAATTCAAATTAAGGGGCATTCCACAAAAATGTCGAGGACATAAAAGACAAAGAAAAGGCCAGGCACAGTGGCTCACACCTGTAATCCCAGCACTTTGGGAAGCCGCGGCTGACAGATCACCTGAGGTCAGGAGTTCGAGAACAGCCTGGCCAACATGGTGAAACCCCATCTCTACTAAAAATACAAAATTAGCCAGGTACGGTAGAGAGCACCTGTAATCTCAGCTACTAATGAGGCTGAGATAGGAGAATGGCTTGAACACGGGGGGTGGAGTTTGCAGTGAGCTGAGGTCGTGCCACTGCACTGCAACCGAGGTTGCGCCACTGCACTGCAGCCTGGGCAACATAGCGAGACTCCATCTCAAACAAAAAAAAACATGAAAGAAATTTTGCATACTGGAAGAAAGTAAGAGGACATGACAACTAAATGCACTGTGGGATTCTAGACGACTCTGGCACAGAAGGACATTAGTGGGAACTCGGGTGAAATTCAAATAAGGTTTGTAGATTAGTTAATAATTTTAAATCAAAATTAATTTTTTGGTTTAGAAAATTATTCTACTCTGATTATATATAAGTTGCTAATATTGGGGAAGGCTAGGTATAAGGGAAAATCTGTGTACTATTTTTGTACATTTATTGTACATCTAAAAGTATTTCATAATCGAGTTTTTTAAAACATTTACTGCTGTTCAACTTACTGTTTAATTTACTGTTTTGCTGTTTTGCAGCTCTCTCCTCCCTCCTCTCCTACACTACGGCAAGGATATTCCTCTGACATGTTCGAATGCTAATGTATTCCAGATCACAAACAGTGCCTGGCACACAGAAGGCACTCAAAAAACACAGGTCGACAATTTCGGTAAGCCAGAATGATGACAGCATATTCCAAATCCTAGACTTAGTATTAATTTTCCTTATATCGTATTTGAAAGCTGCTTTGCTTATTCTGTAAAGGCAAACAAATATAAAAACTTTGATTCACTGTTTACAAAGAAGAATCATAGTTTTCCATAAAAATGCTTTGTCTGGTGTTTCTGTTATAGCTAACAGGATATGAATCTGATCTTTTCTTACAGTAAGTGTTTTCTCAGAATATACTGCGGTCTACTGATTCAAAGATACACATTTTCTCCCATATTTCAGCATCTGATATCAAGGTGACTCTTACACGTGATGGCATGTCATAGTTTAATCAGCAGTTGCTTTTCCTGCTTAGCAGTACTTTACAATCACGGTGCATCTAATAGCGTATTAAATTTGATGAAATCTGGTAATGAATAAAGCATTTTCAAAATATCTTTGGAGCTCCACTTCCAACGCAACAGCATAAGCTCTGCTGATCCCCTGTGAAGTGAAACTAGTGACAACTATTGTTTTAGAAACCTCTTAAGAGGACCTGAAAATTGCCTCAAGGACAAACAGCAAATGAAGAAATACCTATATGAGAAAACCTATAAAAATTCAGTGAGAAAAGTGAGAGCACAGTATTTGAACCAAGATCATTCCCCGCTCTCCTCTCCTCAGCCAGTGAGGTGGAGACCTCACTCCGGACTACAGCAGCCAAGAACACAGGGCTCCCTTTGCTCTCCAGCTCCAAGCTGTGGGATTTCATCCTGGGAGAATCAGGACTTCAACTTTTCTCCTGCTGCCCCCAGCTGCCTGTAGCTAAGGTTAAGTCCCAGGCAAGTGCAATTGAGATGTGGGGGGTCTCTTACTCTACACAACCCCTGCTGATGGAACGGAGGCTCTACCTTGCGTGCAGCGTCCTGAGAATATGAGGGCCCTGACAGCCCTTTCTGGGGCTTGTAAGGTAGTGGTTCCACACCTGGAAAAGCAGAGCCACAAGAACCTCAACCTCCTGGCCTCTCCACTTAGTGCTCAGCTCCTAGAGCGGGGCTGCCACTCAGAGAAAAACCTGTCATTATCCTCAGTCCCACCTCAAGACACAGAAATCTTGTCTGGAGCCACAGAACAGCTCCTGATCGCTTCCCAAAGAAGGAGCTTCATTTGCAACAGCTCCTGGAGAAGTTTGGGCCTAAGAGCCCTCTCAAAAACAGTGAAAGTTGTGGTGAGAGAATGGGGACAACTGTGGATCTAGTGAAGATACAGCCTGGAGTGTGGGGACTAGCTTGCAGGAGACAACCTGCAAAAGAGGTGGAAAGGAGGAGTCCTCCTGGGGTCAGAAAAATATCAGACACTGTCCTCAGAAACTATTTCTGCAAAGGAATCACGATTTTATCATAGAACATATCATAGGTCAAAAACAAACAAAAAAAAAGGAACCAAAATGTAGTTTGTAGCAGAATGTATGCCCCAGGGCATTGGTGTAAACAATAAAACAATCAGCTGGCAATTAGTCTAGGAGTCTCAGAAAGAGTAAAGGGGCATCCCAGGGTGAGTGTGGGCAAACCAAGAGCTGAAGCTCCACCCAGCCACTAAACAAATAAACCAGCAAATAATAACAGGTAAAGGGGACCTCAGTACCCAGGGTTGCTAAAATACATTTCTCTAAAACGTCCAGTTTCCAATAAAAAATTATGAGATGTACAAAGAAACAGAAAAATACAACCAATACACCAAACGGGGAAAAAAAACCAAGCAGGTAACAGAAACTGCCTGTGAGTACAGCTAGACGAACTAGATGTTGGATTTATTTATTTATTTTCATTTATTTTTTGAGACGGACTCTAACTCTGTCACCCAGGCTGGAGTGCAGTGAGGTGATCTCGGCTCACTGCAACCTCTGCCTCCTAGGTTCAAGCAATTCTCCCTGCCTAGCCTCCCTAGTAGCTGGGATTACAGGTGCCCACCACCACGCCCAGCTAATTTTTATATTTTTAATAGAGATGGGGTTTTGCCATATTGGCCAGGCTGGTCTCGAACTCCTGACCTTAGGTGATCTACCTGCTTCAAGCCTCCCAAAGTGCTGGGATTACAGGCATGAGTCACCATGCCCGGCCAGGATTTATTTTTAAAAGGATTTCAAATCAGCCATTATAAATAAACTCACAGAACTAAAAGAAAATTTAATTGAAGAAGTAAAAGAAGGTATGACAAAGTGGCATCAAATATAAACTATCAATAAGAAGACAGAAATTTTAAGAAAGAACCAAATGGAAATACTGGAGTTGGAAAGTACAATAGAAGTAAAAATTCACTAGAAGACCTTGTGATGGTTAATTTTATGTGTCAATTTCATGGGGCTAAGGAATGCCCAGACAGCTGGTAAAACATTATTTCTGGATATATCTGTGAAGGTATTTCTAGAGGAGATTAGCATTTGAATCTGTAGACTGAGGAAAGATGACCCTCACCAGTGTGGGTGGGTATCGTCCAATCTATTAAGAGCCTGAGTAGATCAAAAAGGTGGAGGAAGTGCAAATTTGTTTCTGGTCTGAGCTAGGATATCCCGCCCTCAGACAACAGCTCGCCTGGTCCTTGGGCCTTTGAACTTGAACTGGGACTTTCGTCATTGGCTCCCTTATCTCCAGGCCTTTGGACTGAGACTGAATTACACTACCAGCTTTCCTGGTTCTCCAGCTTGCGGATGGCAGATACTAGGACCTCTCAGCCTCCATAATCACATGTGTCAGTTCCTATAATAAATCTTCTTGTGTGTATGTGCACAGGTTTGTGTGTGTGTGTGTGTGTGTGGATGTGTTCTGTTTCTCTGATGAACCCTAACTAATACACACCTCAACAATAGATTTGAACACAATGGAGAAAGAATTAGCAAACTTGAAGACAGGTTGGTAGAGATTATGTAAGCTCAAGAGGGAGAAAAAAAAATGAAGAAAAATGAACACAGCCTCAGACAAAGGTGGAACACCAATAAGCACACCACCACATGTGTAATGGGAATACCAGAAGCAAAGGAGAGAGAAAGGAGAAGAAAAAACATTCAAAGAAATAATGACTTAATATTTCCCAAATTTACTGAGGAACAATAAGTTATTCATCCAGGAAGCTCAACAGACTCCAAACAGAGTCAATAAAAGAGACCCACAAACACATGGTGGAAATGAAAAAAGTCAAACACAAGAAAATCTTGAAAGCTGCAAGAGAAAAATGACATGACTTACAAGGGAACTTCCATTAAGATTAATAGCTGACTTCTCAGCAGAAATTAAATAGAGGACAAAGGCAATGCAACGACACCCAGTGTTCAAAAACAACAAAACCTCTTGTTAACCAAGAATCCTATGTCCAGAAAAACTATCTTTCAAAAATAAAGGTGAAAACTTAAAGTATAATAATAATAAATAAATTAAAAAAAAAATAAATAAAGGTGAAATAAAGACATGAAAATAAACAAAAACTGAGGGCATTCATTGTTAGCAGACATGCCTTATAAGAAACACTAAGGGAAATTCTTCAGGCTGAAAGGAAGTGACCCCAGATGGTGGTTCAAATCCACACAAAAAGCAGCAATAATTATGAAATTAGAATATACACTATTAATGTATTTTTTTCTTCTTTCTGTTAACTGATTTAAAAAGTCAATTGTATAAAATATTTATATAATTCATTGCTGGGTCTATAACATGTGGAAATATATCAGTAATACAATTGCCAGTAATAGCACAGAAGAGGTAGGTGGAAATAAAACTGTAATGGGCTAAGGAAATAATAACACATAAAAATAATAATTATAACAATATATTGTTTAGTTTGCAACATTAACAGATGTAATATGTATAACAATACCCCCCAAAAGGGTAAAAAGGAACAGACCTACATAGGAGAAACACTCCTATATATTACTAAAATTAAGCTAGTATAAATCTAAAGCTGATTCTGTTGAGAGACTACTAAAAATACTCAAAAGCAGTGAAAAAGTCATTGATGAAATTAAAATGCTATACTAGAATTCAATCAATGCAAAAAAAGCAATAAGGTAGGAACACAGGAACAAAAAAAGACACGAGGCACAGGAAAAACAAAAAGTCAGATGACAGAAATGAATCCAGTTATATTAATAATAGCATTAAGTATGTATGAATATACAACCCAATCAAAACGCAGAGAGTGTCAAGACTGGATTTTAAAAGGCATGATCCAACTATATGTTGTCTACAGAAGACACACGGTAAATTCAAAGATAAACGGATTGAAGTAAAAGAATAAGAATATGTACAGGTCCCATCACTTTGAAAAAGTCTGGTAATTCCTCAAATGATTACACATAATAGAGTTACGATAGGACCCAGCAATTCCACTCCTTGATAAATGCCCAAAAGAAATAAAAACACATGTCCACACAGAAACATGTACCTGAATGTTTATAGCAGCATTATTCATAATTAGCCAAAAGTTAGAAACAACCCAAAGTTCACCAGCGGATGGGTGGATAAACAGTGTGGTATGTCCATACAACGGACCATTATTCAGCTGTAAAAAGGGGCGAAGCGCACATCCTCTCTGTATACTGTGCAGGAACCCCACTGTGAGGCGATCTGCCACTACATGGGTGAACGTTGAAAAGATTAAACTAAGTCAAAGAAGCCAGTCACAAAAGACCACATACTATAGGATTACATTGATCTGAAAATCCAGAACAGGGAAATCTGGAGAGATGGAAAAATGAGTGGTTGCCTAACCCCTAGGAGGGGAGGGGAGGGAGGTGGAGATTAGGACAGTAATAGCTAAAGGGTATAGGATTTCTTTTTGAGGTGATAAAAATGCTCTAAAGTTGACTGTGGTGATGGATATATATCTGTGAATATACCAAAAACCGATTCACTGTACACTTTAAATGGATGAATTGTGTAGTATGTAAATTGTATCTCAAGCTGTTTAAAACTGTTTAAAAACATTTTTGCTGAAGGAATCATTTATCTAACAAATGCTTATTACATGTTTACTAAGCACTACTGGATCAGGCACTGCAAAAATAATACCAGTCTCTGTCCCCATGGACAGGGACCTGTGACTGCTTCGTCAATCTCGCCCAGGGTCTAGATTGCGCCTGACCAGCAGGAGGTTCCATCAGGAGCCCTGCTCCTCCCAGCAAGACAGACATGTAACTACTCCTGCCCCACTCTCACAACACCCACCTACAACCGTCCCAGTTTGTCCAATCCACATAATTGAAAATCTGCCTCATTTCTATGTGGGAATCCAGTATACCCCGCTGAAACTGTTACTCTGTCTTGCACCACAGCTTCCCTGGCAGGATTCCTTAAATACTCCCCAACTTATGCCAATCCCATGCACCAGCTCATGTTTTCTTTCCAGTGCTGAATGAGGACTATGTCAAACCAGTACTTTTAGAACCTGTACTTGTAAGATTCTCCCGGGGGCCTGAAAGCTTAAGGAGATGAATAACTCCTCCCTTCTCAGGCCCAGTCCCAAGGTGCAATTTGCGCCAGCAGCGTGCCGCAGCAAGACAGCGGAGGCAGCAAGAGAGCTGGCCCAAAGACACGCACCCCTAAAGATTGAGAAAGGGGCCACGTGGGTACAAGGTAGCAGTTAGGTCAGACTAGGACACTTCCTATTTACAGGAGACTATAAAACCTTTGCCCCATCCTCACTTAGGGCTGACACCATTTTAGGCCTCAGCCCGCCTGCTCATTAAAACAGCATGTTGCTCCACACCGCCTCGTGTTGTCCGTCACGTTGTCTGTTATGTTGTCTGTTAGCACGTTCTCGGGGTTTGAACCGATACAAGAACCTTGCAGTACTGTGATTACCAGCGACAACACTGAGAGCGCCTAAGAGTCCTGTGTGCTGGTATTAACGAGCATCTCACAGTTCCAAAGCATGAATACTCTACTCCCCTTCAGAACTTGTAGCTGCACATACAGCTCCCGGTACCTGATATGCCCAGTGTTTCCCACTCTGCCTGGCTTGGCCTTCACATTCATCCTTCACATTCTACCTCCTGGGTAACGCACCTGAAGAATTAGGAGCCTCTGCCTCTGCTGTTCCGAGCAACAGACCAAGAGCTAAGAGCATAAGCTCTTGAATGAGGCTGCCCGAATTCAAACTTCAACGCCACTACTTAACATATGACCTTGGTAAGTTTCTCAGTCACTCTGCCTTGGTTTCTCCATTTACAGAAAGGGGATAATATCTCCCATGGTTGTTATGAGGATCAAAATACATATAATACACTTACAGGCAGGCACTGTTATTGTTTCTATCTAATTCCATTTGATGGTATATTTGTTTACATGCATCTTTCCCTGACCAGTCCCTGAGCTGCTCAAAGGCATAAAATTACCTATGGCTTTTCTTATTAATAGCATATAATATAGGGCTAGGCGCAAGATTTGCACATGTAAGGGACCCATGAATGAATGAAAAAAAAAAAAAAAACATTAGTCTAGCAATGTCAAAGGTTATAGAAACCACACTTTCAAAATAAAAATCAGAGCACGTGGTTTATGGGTGCATTAGAATTGAGTCTCTCAAAGCGGGACTTCTCTGGAAAATCCAGGCTGTCTGACTGCCAGAACTATCTAGAAAGAATCCAAATGCCCAACAGTTTTAGCGGTTACAGAAACGATAACATTTAACACAGAAGATTTTATGTAACCATAGCCAGAAACCTGTGTTGATACCTGGAAGAGTCTGGAAAAAACACTAAGTAGAAAATCAGAGCAGAAGTTTGCAAAGAGGAATTATGGAGTTATTCAGAGAATGAAGATCAAAGAGAACAGACTGTGTGTGTGCATCTAACACTGCGTGATGAAAGCATCTTTAGCTTTTAAATTCATTTTCATTCAAAAGACAGCTTAATAAAAATAATGATGCTTATTATAAGGCCTTTACATAAGAAACAAGAAAAATAAAACGGAGATTCCAAGACTTCTTAGCTTTCAAATAAGGCACAGTAAGAAGGGTCAAGTTTCTCCACTACTATAATTCTCTGAATAGATAAGTTTCCTAAAAAATATATATATATATATACACACACACACACACACACACACTTTTCTGCTCATCAACCCTCTTATTTCATAAACAGACTTTTAATAGTCATTTGTTTTGCTCATGTCAGGGACAATCAATAGTTTGATTAACTATTCAAACTACTTCTTGATTGGCTGGGCGTGGTGGCCTGCACCTGTAGTCCCAGGTACTCCTGTGGCTGAGGCACAAGAATTGCCTGAACCCAGGGGCAGAGGTTGCAGGGAGCAGAGGTCTTGCCACTGCACTCTAGCCTAGGTGATAGAGTGAAACTGTGTCTCAGAAACAAAAACAAAGCACTTCCTGACTAAGCCTTCTCCTTTGGTACAATAAAAACATGAATTCTAAAACGTACGTACTTGTACACAAAGAAAAAAGGCCTTTAGCAAGTTTTTCATTCAACGACCCCCAAGAGTTCCCCCCAAAATTAGAGTCCAACTCAGAGAAAGACAAAGAATGGGAAAAGACTCTACTTGCTCAAGGCACAGAGCATGTTTTTACTTATATCAGCTTTTTTTAACATATACATGCACAGATATATACATATGCAATATGTATATATAGACACGGATGTAAACACACATCAGAAAAAAATAAGGTCACAAAGCAATCTTTTCTGTTGTCTTCATATGAGTCAATAAAACAACATCAGCAACAGCAGCTTCAATAGCCCAGGTGATGACAGCTACTGTAACAAACCAAATATGCAACCACCTCAACATTTCCATCTTTCTTCTCATCATCAACATTCCTCAATCAAAGGAAAGAAGACAAGTAAGAAGTATGGGTAGGAATTTACTTCAAGTAGTTTCTCTTAAAAAAAAAAAAGGCAAATAAATACATTATCCTTAAATTATAGAATTCCAATCAATGAACAGATAGCTTCTCTTTAAAACACGGTTCAACAGTCTAAACGTAATTAATTTTTTAAAATGTTTTAATATTCCGATGAGAATTTCTACTCATCCTTGCTTAAATACTTTTGCCTAAGGAGTAATCTGTCAATGCACGCAGTTTAAATCATTAACTACATAGCACCCAATCATTAGCATAATTAGCATGTAAATTTCACGAAGGCACTAATTGTGTCCTTTTAAGTGTTTTATGCAACACTCAGTACAAGGAAGCTTATTAAACACTTATTATGTTTAGTAAAAAGAACAAAATGCCAAAACAAAAGTCTTTATTATTCAACTCGGCTGTCATGTATAATAAAAACCACTGATCAGTATCTGTTTCTCCAAGTACAATTATAAGAAACTGAAAACAAAACAAACCCCACTGGAATTAGAAATTCTGTCTCCTCTGTCCAAGAATACTGTTTCATTTTTCTATCAGTAAGAAACTGCCAGCAGATAGCATGTAACATGCAGGATGCCAGGGTATTTGACCTAAGCATTTAGGCACCTTAACCAACCAAAAAGTCTAGTACATGTCATGCACACTTTCGGAGTCATTTTCCTTACCTTTCCCATTTTGCCATGTAGTATACCAAGACAAAGTAAGGAAGGAAGTGATAAATGCTAACGCAGTGGCTACAGTTCCATTGCGGAGCCTCATCTCATTTCACCATCACACTGGTCCATATGTGTACGATGACAACACCCAGGACTGTTTTCGTTTCACCCTGAAAGTCAACCGAATGCAGTCCTCCTGGCTCTAGGCCAACAAAAATCAATAAGAGAGGTTCATTTCAGATGATCTGCAGGAGGAGCCTAGCAGGGATGCCGTTCACAACTGTACGCGGGATTGTCTTTGCGGTCTTCATACACTGATGCCTCGGCCTTTTCGCTTCCTATTCGGGGGGAAAAGAGAAAGACAAGCTCATTCACTAATGCAAAATGTAAGTTTCTTCATTCACTATTCGTCATTATAAACAGACTTTTGGCTAAATTGTATCTATAAAGATTATCCCTACATCGAAACTACTCATTTAACATACTAGAATTATCTGGTCCTTCTCCTCCTGGAAAAAGAATACAAAACAGCTTCAAACTATATTCCCTGCTCATTGGTTTTGTTTGGTCTGTAAAAAGAAAAGTGATGGCTACTGATTTTAAAGGGAGAAACGGAGCTCACAGATTCCAAGATGAGAACTCTAACGATCACACAATGGTTCCTGAGTAACATAAACTTCACTCTCCCCAGTTTTCCTATTGCACAATAATAGGAAATTTTTTTAAATAAGAAAATTGACAGAATATAACATATAAGGGTCAAAAGACGTGGGCCCTTGACCCAGCTCTGTCATTACTTACATGATTCGGGGCATGCCACTTATCTAGGTCTCAAGGCTTCATTCATAAAATGAGGAAACAATCTGTCCTGTGTCCTCTTTCACATATTGTCATAAATTATAAAAAGGTTACAGTTATTACTGCTATTTATCACGGTCATAAAATAAATGTCATTTTTCCAGTGACTAACCCACTCCCAGGGTGTAAATAAACTGGAAATATTTAAGCATTTAGAAAATGCGGCAATCCAACCAGGATACGGTATGCCTTAGGCCCTATCACTCTGTATTGCTTTAACTCAAGAAATCTGGGAAATCACCACTGAACGAACAAAACTGTTGGGAAAAGGGAACGAAATGGTCTTAGGCACAGCATTCAGCATATAATAGGTTCTCAAAAAATGTTAACTGTACTAAAAACCAAACTTTTTTGGTTAATTGAACAACAACAACAACAAAACCAGCCAGCTACTGGTTCCAGTCCACTCTATGCATGGTCAGTCTCAATCCCTGGAGGCACGTCAGGCCCTCCAAGATGTGTACAGACTCCTGGTAGCCTCAGGGGGTGCCACAGGATGCACCTGGTAATATCCTGACACTGTGGTGGGGGAGTCAATGTACCTCCAAACACGGCCAGCAGTCCCAAGGGAGAATTCTCTCCAGGGAAGAGCATAACCGATTAAAGCAGACAATTCAGAACTTGCCACCACCACTGCTTCTTAACACTGAACATTACTAGAAATTCCCCCAGTAAAGAAAGATCACAGGGGCATAGTACTAATAATGATAGCCACTACAACTTACGAAATGTTTCCTAGGTGCCTGATCTACCATATGGTTTAAATCTTCACAAAATCCTATGAGGCAGGCATTATTAACCCTGTTCTACACATAAGGAAATGAATCCAGAGAAATAACGCGAATTTGTTTGACTCCAAAGTCCAAGCTCTCATCTACTACACTTTCCCTCTCAAACGAGGCACCTGCACCTGGCAATATGAAGCTAAGTGCTAGGGATACTCCAAGCATCACGTTAAACTGCAGAATCTTCCCAGAGTATTAATTATACCCAACTGTAAGTGTAAATTAAACAAAAAAAATTATGTAACACACACTGATCTACTATGGAGTAAGTTGCAAAATTCATGGAAAATTTCAAAGTCTAAACATGCAACTTTAAACAAATCTCCACTTCCTGTAGCTTTTGGCTAATACCTCACCACCACCCTCCACCAAACTACGCCTGTTAACCCTCCTCAGACAGCAGCTCTAGCTTCCATATAATATTCTAGAAGCACCTAACCTCTTTTACTACCTGAAGACAAAGAGCTCTAAAAATATTCTCAAGTAGAAGTTATCATTGTTCTCTAAGACTGAACTTATTCACCTTCTACAACTAAGACAAGTTAACATCAAACATGACCACATCTACAGTTTAATATTAAAATCTTCACAGTGGCCAGGTGCGGTGGCTCATGCCTGTAATCCCAGCACTTTGGGAGGCCGAGGCAGGCAGATTACCTGAGGTCAGGAGTTCAAGGCCAGCCTGGCCACCATGACAAAACCCTGTCTCTACTAAAAATACAAAAATTAGCCGGGCATGGTGGCAGGTGCCTGTAATCCCAGCTTACTCGGGAGGCTGAGGCAGCAGAATTACTTGAACCTGGGAGGCAGAGGTTGCAGTGAGCTGAGATCACGCCACGGCACTCCAGCCTGGGCGACAGAGCAAGACTCATCTCAAAACAAAAAACAAAAAACAAAAAAACAACTTCATATCAAGTCTCCTCTAATTGTCTTAAATCAATAAGCACCCAATAATGAATTCTGATTATAAAAACAGGGGTGATAATTCTATGAATTATATAACTTGGAACGTTAATCCCTGTGCGGCATTATATTAAAATACTTATAACTTTCAGCTGCTATCTACTTAGCCCTGTTTCACTTCAGAAAGAATTTTGTTCTAGTAAAAGATCTAAAAACCATACAGGTTATTAGAGTAAGCACTCAATTCATAATGGGAGAGGTAAAGAGCCCATCATATGGTAAAGGATATTTTAAAAGTTTTACTAAATACAAATAAAACTCGTAAAAAAAAATCCGTAGACATGCGTAGAGACAAGTAAAAGTAAATGAACTCTGAAACCAAAGTAAACTATTGATATACTACCCCTAATATATGAAAAAATTAAAAAATACTGGATCCAGGAAGTTATGAAACGCTGAAGAAGATACCTACAATGAATTCTACTAGCAAATACGCCCTGAAGTTTTGCAAGAAAAATATGAGTGTTTTACTCAGTAAGAATGTAGTCATACATTTTTAATTAGGTTTCCCAGCTAATAAGTTTAACTGCACAGCACAAGTGAAGAAACTCTTCGGACAGGAAAAAAACAAGGATCTACTCGCTCTTCAATCATAAGACATAATTCACAGGCTGGCTTGTAAGGCACAGGTGACCCACATTTTTATTAGTGTCCACATTTGCAAAAATTTTAATCTAGCCCCTTAATATTCTCGGAGACTAAAACCTAACACGTTTGAATCTTTAACAACAACAAAAAAGGTAGTGGCTAAAATTGCTAGTCATTTCTCCACCCTCCCAAAGGTGAACGGAACTTTCAACTCTAGACACCAGACTGTTTTGTTAGCAATCCTTTAAGGCCTTCAGTCTTCATTTTATTACTGGACACAAAACCTTTACTTATTTTAAAGTGTTCTCTGAAATACTCAATATAGTGCATGGCTGAGAACACTTTGCTGAACGTTTGGCATATTCCTTAATCAGCATCCCACTGACAGGGGAGAGGTGCCTTAAGAATGAAAGGCACAGTAATCCCTGATACCCGGAATCAATAAAATCCATGACGTAAGCCTATATAACTTTACACACCACAATTATGGCAAAATTCATTTATGTGCCATTTATAAACGAGTCAGTTTTCTTTAATACCGCTTACATAATGTCATCGCCCAGCGCGTTTTCGGATTTACACGTGTGGGTTACGGAAATCTATGTCAAGATAACCTGTTCATCAAACTATTTTTTAAACATTTAGAAAAAGAAACATAAACCACAGAACGCATATTTTCATTCTAAATTTACAGTCTACGTTCCAAAGAACGACTCTGTCATTATCTTTTATCAAATAATTCGTCCAACAGCAAAAGCACAACAGCAAAATACACGGAAAGCATTCCAAGCATACATTGTGACTGCTTCTATTTTCCAATGCGGAATGTAGGCAACGAACCCGCTCCAGAGAAACGCACTGTTGCGAGGAATAAAGGCGGGTGTGCAAGTGGCTCGGAAAAGCCAGCTCAGAAAAGCTCGCCTCCGAGATGTCACCTGGCACACTTGGTGGAGTCCCCGAGACCCAGCCTCAGGGTCCTACTGCGGCTTCCTCGACACGCAGGGAGCTGAGGCCTGGGGAAACGCGGGGTGCTCTTCCACGCGGGCCCCGCAGCCCTTCACTTTGCGTGACAATTCCCTGCGAAGGCTTCCCGGCCGGTCCCCTCCGGGAGCAGCCCCTGCCCCTG